TCAAGGGCTGTTTTTGTAGTTGACGGTTCAAGCCTCTAGACATGGAAGTGATGCATTTTTGGGATGGATTTAATGCTCAGATTTTCAGTTTGTTTTTGTTGACCAAAAATTACTTGACGCTCTATAGGCTTCCTTTTTTTAATCATTTTGGTCCATTTTTGGGACTCTTGATTCATTTTAGGCTTACTTTTATCATTTATTTCGGCACAGAGATCCGTTTTGTCTACATCTTTCTTAGTGGTGTTCTCTAGCTCAGTTTCTTACGGAATGTTATCAGCTGGCCTAGGTATTTTTCTCGAAGACGATAATTGTTCTTTGACAACCTAATTCTTCTGAAAACCTAATTTTATCACGTAGTTCCCTGATTAATTTGTTTAGTGCGGCCATGGCCCTACTTCCCTTCGTTATTTTTTACCTATCTCTATGTCTTCGTCGGCTTTACTTGTGATCGTTACCCCTTGTTGTTCTTTTTAATACAAAACAGCTCACTTTTTCAAACTTGTAGGTACTCCTTATCATTTTTACTTCCCGAGCGTAAGCAAAGGAAGTATTGTAATCGAGTCCGTCGGCCGACTCTCTACTTTTACGTTTTCTCGATCTTTCGTGACCCCTAGAAGACGAAGAAATAGGTCTCCCATTTCCGTCTGTCTGTCCGTCTGTCCGTCTGTCCGTCTGTCCGTCCGTCTGTCCGTCTGTCCGTCTGTTGTCCCGGATTTTTATTAGACAGATAATCTCCGAAAGTACTCGACCGATTGCTGTGAAATTTTGTACTTATATTAAGAATATCATGTAGATGGTAAAACGCTAACCAAAATTTGTCTAATCATCCCCACCACTAATGCGATGACGTCACTTCAAAATTGTACATAGTAAATGGGTTTTCAATTGTATAAAATAACATAGTCCTACACATGTAGTTTACAACTCTGAATCGACTTTTCACCCGAAACGTCCAGATTTTTGGAAAAAAAAATCAAAATTATAAAACAACATTTTGAAATTTAATTTTTAATTTGCTAACCAGAATGCTTTGAAATGTTGCAGATGTTTTAAGGCTATAAAGAGCATCATAAATCTTTAGTCAAAAAATATTTGCTTATCCCCTCCAAAAACTTGATGACGTCAGCTCAAAAGTTTGTGGAATAAATCATATCTAAAATGTACAAAATATGATGAGTCTGTACTTGTGATCTATCACTGCATTAACATTTTTTGGATTTGCATATACAGGGTGACTCAAAAAAATTAATGAATGCGTAAATATATTTTATTGATTTAATCAGGAACTACAAAACCGAATGCTCTGAAATCTTGCAGATGTTTTAAGGTCATAAAGAGCATAATAAATGTTTAGTCAAAATATATTTGCTTATCCCCTCCAAAAACTTGATGACGTCAGCTCGAAAGTTTGCCGAATAAATCATATCTAAAATGTACAAAATATGATGAGCCTGTACTTGTCATTTATCACTCCATTCATATTTTATGGATTTGCATATACAGAGTGACTCAAAAAAATTAATGAAGGCGTGAATTTATTTTATTGATTTAATCAGGAACTACAAAACCGAATGCTTTGAAATCTTGCAGATGTTTTAAGGTTATAAAGAGCATAATAAATGTTTAGTCAAAATATATTTGGTTATCTTCTACAAAAAACTGATGACGTCAGCTCAAAAGTTTGCCGAATAAATCGTATCTAAAATGTACAAAATATGATGAGTCTGTACTTGTGATTTATCATTCCATTCATATTTTTGGATTTGCATATGCAGGGTGAGTCAAAAAAATTAATGAATGCGTGAATTTATTTTATCGATTTAATCAGGAATTACAAAACCGAATGCTTTGAAATCTTGGGAATATTTTAAAGTTATTATAAGCATGGTAAACTTTTGTTCAAAATGTATTTGTTCATCCCTCCTAAAAAAATTGATGACGTCACCCTTAAATTTTGCTGAATAAATCCTATCTAAAATGCAAAAAATATGATGAGTTTGTACTTGTGATTTATCATTCCATTCATATTTTTTAGATTTTCTTAAGAGGTGGTTCAAAAAAATTAATGAAGTCAATTTATTTTATTGATTAAATTAAAGGCAACACTTATTATTAGTATTACACCCCAACCAACCCAATTTGGTAGACACAAAATTTGTTAAAGGAAAACTCGGTTGAAACATAAGGGTAGCACGCTTATTTACATCGACTTTAACATTACAGACCTGCATTTGTATTATGCGTTCACTTGGTTCCGCGAATGTGAAATAGACATGTTTATAATCAACCAATTGTGAATTTCACCGTCAAGAATTAAAATAAAACCCAATGTTTTATATAATAAGCGGAAGTCGAAGCAATAAAACCGATGGTCGTTTTGTTTACAGTTTCTCTGTTTGACTCTCACGTATGCTGTTACGCTTGTCATCTTAAATTAAGAATGTTTATACATAAACGATTTTCAGTTGTCCCTCATATTACTAGACAGCGGATTTCTGTCGGGCTACGTCACGATTATAGGAGGGGACGTGCTGGATTCCATAAATATAATTAACGATTTATTAATCAAACGGCTAAGTAAATGGGAACGGGAATTAACAGCAGAGTGCAACGAAACAACGTTATTCTAATCTCAAATAAACGAAGTGCAGTCCGCAACGGCAATGAATTCGCATCCCGTGCGAGCCGTACCGAGTTTAGCCTTGCCTAGCCCGACAGAAATCCGCTCTCTAGATATTACACACCGGCGCCGTATACGTGAGTAAATTGTTTCGTTATTTTATTGAATATAAGAAATCAATATTCAAAACGACCCAATTCATTTTTCCGTAAATTTGGAAACACAATAATTTTATTCTTAGTATTACACTACATCTATCCCAACTGATATACGTGTCCTTGCAAAAATGTTGATGACGTCATCACAATTTTTTTTTAAATTCCCACTACAAAAATGTAATGAGATAAAAAAACATAATAGGCATGCAGTCGTCAAGTTTCCGACAGCGAGGGAAGTACTGTCTAAACTCTTTAGACCAATTTTTACATTTAATCTTCATTGCACTTCCTTCTTGTTTCTCTACCTCGCAATTCTACATATTTGTTTTATTTTCATTTATATGAAGTCCGGACTGTCTAGCTGTTTCTTCTATTTTCCTAAATATCTTCTCAAGTAATGCTATGTTAATTAAAACGTCATCCGCGAAGGCAATAAGCTGTTGTTTCCGAGAAGATATTATTCGTTCAGTTTCTATGCCACTCTCCCGTAATATAGCTTCTAAAGTTATATTAATAATAATTGTTACGTAAATTACTTCACCCTTTCTGTTTGCCAAATTTGTTTTTGCTCTGAGTACATTTATTTTATTGTCGAAGCTTTTCATTTTGATGATATGTGTTTTTTCATTTATTTTTCGTGTAATATTTATCCGTGCTGTCTGCAATTCCTTTTTCATAAATTCCTCTATGGTCTCTTTCAAGTTTTCCGTGTCTTTAATTTCTGCTGCATTTCCTTTACTTCGCCTTTTATTCCTGATTTTCTTTTGTCAATTCATTTATTTTTTTTTATGCTCGTAGTTCTCTTTTCTGATTTCCTTCACTTCCGCAGCCATGTTTTCCATTGCTCTTTACTCGGTCATTTCGTTCGTCCTTTTTCTATTTCCCTCCAGTATTTCCTTCATCATTTCTCTTATTTCCTTGTTTCGATTGTCTCCGTTTTTATTCTTAGCATCTTCCTCATTGTCTTCACGTTTCGTCTTGAAATCTTCCGATGTGTCGCTGTCCATCATTTTGTTTGTACCTACTCTTTTCCTATGTTACGGGCACAGAGATAGAAAAGACTAATCCAGATCGACTCTTCGGAGATTAACGTTTCTCTCTGTGCCACTGATGTTTTGTTTATTCCGGCAACGCCTAATTTTTGCTTTATAGAGGTTATCACAAGACAAAAATCGCAAATTCAAATTGGATAATTTGTTAAAGAAATGGTATTTTGTTGGACTACACTTCGAGGACAAAGGAAGTTGTCTCAACACAGATTCATAAACCACAAGTGCAGGAATTTCTTATTTTATAAAACTTAAATAACATTTTACTAGTGTAAATTTTGGAAAGGACGAATTTCCTGACATTCATATAAAATTTGACAACAATCGGTACAGTAGTTTCGGAGATTATCTGTATAATAAAATTTAACATAGGTAGACAACAGACAGTTGGAAACGCGACACATACTGTTTCGTACTCTTCGTCGGATGGATCCAATAAAAATTCAAAAGTCTCTATTCAAGGCAATGGCAGTGCATTAACAGTCACTCTCGAATTTTGCTGGTATCAACAAATAAATTTTTAGTAATTTTAAACACACTTTAAATGAAATATGGTAAACAGTCTATACGCAGATAGGTTATTTCAAAACAATTTAAATTTGTGTTGCCACAAAAAATAATACGCATCATTTCACCAGAACCTACTTTTCGCTAACGCTCGGCCTGATAAATTCGCTCCTGTTCGCAGAAGCCTAATTTCTGGCCTTGTGATGCAAATAGCTATTGCACATCTGTTTCCAATTAAGTAGGTATATGGCAACTAGATGTATGTCTCTTCATTTAAATAATAATTTATATTTGTTTATAGTTAAAAATAATGCATCACATATAAGTGTTTCATATCATTGTAATCGTAATTTCATGATCAATCAAGCTAAAAGTAGTAGGGTTTACAGTATTTTGATGTTTCTGTCCGTTGTCAACTTGCTACATTTTCAGTCGTCGGAAGTAATTCAATTACAAGTAATTCGATACTGTAACGTTTAAAAATTAAAAATTAATTCAACATCGACAAAATCATTTATTATATTCTGGCATTTTCGTATTTTACGAAGTAACGTAACTTTTAACTAATTTTAGTAATATTCTAAGTTGCTCAAGACTAATCTAAACATGTATTACTTGAAGATTGTGTCTCGTAAAACCGAGTTTTAACTCAATATTTTTTTACAGTAAACACGAAAACATGAAAGAAAATTTCCACAATGACTCGTCACCACTAGATGACATACTGATCCCTTTTTATAGTTGTTTAAGTAGTGGTAAGTGTTCTTGATATTGTAGACAGCAGAATTTCATCAACATTACCTCTTACAGATAACGAAATCACCAAATATACCAGTTTTAACTGCGATGATAATTCGAACAAAAGCTATCAGAACAGCCTTGATGAACATTTTGACAGTTTTTTAAACAATGAATTTTGTTCGGAGCATGTTACCAACGATAAATATAGCGAGAGTAATTGCTACTCTGTGTTGGGAGTAGACCTAATTTTATCCGGCAACGGTAACGAAGACAGCATCAGCAACAGCAATCAGAGCAGCGGCAGCAGCAGCGTAGAAACCGTCGTCAGTTTAGATTCGTGGATACTAGAAGCCGTAGATAACATAGTTTGCAAGGATTTGTTAACCGACAGTTGCTTTGATTCTTTAACCCTTGACAACATTCAAGACACTAGTACAAACTTGCAGTCAAACGACTTGCCTGAAATTCTGAACATATTTCCACACATCACCGAAGAAAAAAATATCAAGCGAAGATCTCTTCTTTATGAACGTAGTATTAAAGTAGAAAAGACACAAAACGAGGATCTCGTTTACTACAACAAGCAAAGGAGAACGCACTTCACTTTGTCGTCCGAAAAGTACGTTTACAGAAAAACCGAAGACGACAGATGTTTTCCGTGTTCTGTTGATAATTGTGACAAGGTTTATTCAAAATCATCACATCTTAAAGCTCATCTTAAAAGACATTCTGGTGAGAAGCCTTTCGTGTGTAACTGGGAAAGTTGTACTTGGAAGTTTTCGAGATCCGATGAGTTGGCCAGACATAGAAGATCTCATTTGGGAATTAAACCGTATAAGTGCGAATTGTGTGAAAGGGCATTTGCGAGGTCTGATCATCTTGCTAAGCATCACAAAGTTCACAAGAAAAAGATGGCACAGTATGGAAGTTACCAGATCAAGAGGCGCGTTAGGTTTAATTGACTTTACCATACTTATATTTGACTGAAATACAAAAAAATTAATAAAACTACAATTGCTTCCATTTAATACTTTTTTAATAAATTTAAAATGTTGATTAGCTTATTGCAGTAAATAAATTAATTTCACCACCAAAGTTTGTGATGTAGAAGTTCTGTATTCTATAAGTTACAATAATTAATTCATTAGTGGAACTGATGATTTGCTCTCAGAAATGTATTAAGTCTACAGAGTCAGGCACCCATTCACTTTTAGGTTGATAATAGAAAGAATAAAATTTTTCTAAACTAATAGTGTACATGTTTTAAATGAATTAGGATCTATGGATTTCTGTGCAACTTGTCCGGTAAATTGTAGAAAATAAACTTTTTTCCAGAAAACTGATAAAATAACTTTATTCAAAAATATATTGATCTAATACTTAGAACAAATTCTTTTATGAATTAAGATTAGGTACCTGAGTAAACATAGCAACTGAAATTATTTACATTTCACATTACATTGTCATTTTTGTTGCTGTTTGTCTTGTTGGGGGTGGTGAGCGTCGCAGACAGACAAACGGAAACAGATATCCTATTTTTTACAAACTCTAGGAGTCCTGAAACAACTTCCTAGCGTATAAGGTAGGGAAAAATGGTTATATTTAAAAATTCTCAACTGCACCATATCTAAAAATGAAGACATAAAAATTTATATTTAAAAAATAAGAAGGTAAATCAGAGGAGGCTTTACACAAGTTAGTCGTATATTTCCTATTATATTCTAAATACACTATGATTGCTGTGACTAGTTATAAACGAATCATATTGTTATTGATAAGATTATATGAAGTATGCACAGAAAAAAAAATGTTAGGTGTGGGGTTCGAACCCACGCTCTCTCTCGAGAACCAGAGCTTAAATCTGGCGCCTTAGACCACTCGGCCAACCTGACTATAACTAAAACGTAGATTATAAAAACAATTGTAAACAATTACTTACATTTAGAAACAATGAGAACCTTTGAACAGATACAGATACGAGTATGTTTCAGTGATAAGAATATAATCACTTAGGAACTCAAAATGAAAGAGAGCTAGAAAACGAAATACAGAGAGACGTATCAAAGAGAAATAATTTTAGTCAACAAAAAATTTCTCGTCTATTCTCCGTTCCAGTTTGGGTTGGCTTTTATATGAGAAAATGCTCAGCGGCATTTAGTTGTCCATTGTTATGAAAGCCCTATCGATTTCTGAAGAAGTTGATCGATGAATCTTACACAATTTATCATAAAGTTTTTGTAAATGCGCGTCTATCCGTGTTATATTTGCTTATCACCTCCAAAAATTGATGACGTCAACTTAAAATTTGGCCGAAAAAATCCTTTCTAAAATGTACAAGATATGATAAGTTAGTTATTTAATTATTGTACAAAACCTGTTTAAATATTATTATTAATATATTGCAAAATATAATTGTTTGTGCGTAATATATAAGGTAAAAAAAAATAAAAAAAAATAATGTCAGAAGTGGGATTCGAACCCACGCCCACAGAGTGGACCAGAACGCTCATTTAACCTGACGTTCAGGCAAGGAAACCTTGAGTCTGGCGCCTTAGACCGCTCGGCCATCCTGACATTGTGTACAACCTAGAGCCACTCGTTTTTAAACAATGCACTCTGCTATAAATAGTAATTATTTTTTCATTTCGATAAATATTAACAGCAGATTAGATAAATTATCTCTTGTCTACTTTGTTTATCTTTTATTGTTTATAAATAACATTCGTAATTAGGTATTATTTTCTATCACCAATTTTTGTATCACCAGCACCTAATTTTTGATGCAGTTTTGAAATTTAAACATATTAATTCATGTACACTTATTTTTACTATAATTATTTTCTTTCCAATTTTTTGACAGTGACACTGTCCGTTTTTCTTTGGGGAATTCGGGCCTATTTTTGAAGAAGCTATTAGTACTCTTAGCTAATTTATCATAAAATTGAATCATTCCGCATCCATTCGTGTTAAAATTCGATTTTTCTATATTAAAATTTCATCGTAAAAAAAATTAAAATTGCGTGTTTCGAATTTTTATCACGTCATATTTCAAAAATTATTCAAAATTTTGTCATAGTTTTTTAACACTGATATAACTAAAGGCTACTAATTTTAATATTGAGCGTTTATTGTAGTAGTGTGTTTAAATTTCTTCAAAAAAATGCTTTTGTTAGTTGGGCAAAAGGTGCTTTGAAATTTTCAACATGCAAGAGAAGCAAATTTAGAGTATGGTTTAAAATTATTTTTGCAATGAAGAACTATTTGACAAAAATACTTAAATGAATGAAGAAAAGTCTTCCTGTTGATTACCTTTATTTATAAAAAAAAAAACAAAAATCCAATGTATTAACTACTAAAAACGATGGATGAAGTCTGAAATTTTAATCGTGTTGAAAAAATTAGCGGTAAGTAAGTGTCCTTAGATCCAGCTTTTCTTCATCTTCCGCCATTTAAGATATTCTAGAATTTTATTCGCTTTTCTTATGACCATCTGTCAAGATATATGAAAATATCTAGAAAACTTCATTATTTATCATACGATGCTTTACTGACCTAAATACCCAAATTGCAGTGAAGTACGCATAGGATAAAATTATTCAGCACTGCTGAACATTAATTATTATAAATACGTTAATCAAAAACACATTTTAATTTTCACTTCCAATGTGGTTAAACGTATTTAAAAGCTTCGTGAACTTTGGAACTCCACTGCAATAATATTTCTCACATCCTGTCTGAACTCGAAGTAAATTAATTATTCATTTCGTGAATAAAACGGAATGCATGCTTGAGTTTGGAAACACCCACTTACATCATGCATGATATGAGCTCTTTATTTAAATATTAATGACCACTAATCGCTCTAAGCTATAAGACATACGAATATTTTAATCGTTAAAAATAAAATAGAACAGTGAAGTAAGCGTCCACAATTTATTCACATATGAAATTATTTTTGTACAGCGAATTATCATTGTAAACTCTGTTAAAGAGTCTGTAAACAGGTGTTAAGTTGACGTTTATAATAGAAGAAAATTGACAAGCTAAACCTTGTAAAATAAATTTATATTTTGGAAAAGAACATACAATTAATTAAGAAAATATAACAGTAAGATACATTTGTAAGTTGCCGATAGAAAATACACACACATAAGTAAGTAAATAAGTTATGTATACAAACAAATAATCAGCAAAAGTGAAAAATAGTTACGTAGAAGGAACAAATACAATATAAAAATTAATCACTGAAAATGTTAAACTAAGGAATCTTCAAAGAAATGTAAAGTATTAATTCAAGGAGTTTGTTTTTTAAGTGGATATCTACATTTTTTAGTTTGTTATTTTAATCTGTTGTCTAAAATATATCTATGTTTAGAAGCGCAGTATGAACTAATTTTCGTTACATTTTCCTAACACTACTGAACGGTGCGATTTTTAATTCTTGATAACAAAATCTAGTATTCGAATATTGATTTAATGATTATAAAACAATAATATTTTAATACTACTTTTAATACTTTATCAATTCTAGATTTACCATATGGACATTAAAACCGATGAAATAAAAATATGTCGTTCGAGCAGAAGGAATTTAAGATACCTTCTTCTTTGGCCCAACCCTAACGAAGAACTTAATCCAGGAAAGAATTATACTATCAAAATTTCGATTTATATTTTATTAACTTCTGTTTTGTTATTATCTATACTACTGCATCTTATAACCACGACGATAAGTATTACTAAAGTGAATTCATACATAAACCTAAACTAAACGAATGTTAACATTTTCCTAGAACATTTAGACATCCCACTTACAGAAGATATCACTGGATTGGCATCGATGTCTGGAGTGTACTACATAACATACGTATATGTAAAAAATCAACCGAAACTAGCACAACTTTTGAAGGATTTTTCGGATTTTAAACAATTTGGAAAACCAGCTTATTTTGACAAAAAAGAAAGAATTTTGAATTTGTTTTCTAATATGGTTTTCATTTATGGTATATTAGGACCATTGCAATACAGTGCATTAAAATTTCTCCAAAAAGAAAAGTGTGAACAAAGAAATATCTACAAAGGTTTTAATGAAAATTGTGGATTTCCTACCGCACTCTGGACACCTTTTAGCACAAGCAATATCTATGTTTATTGTTGCTTTTACGTATACATAATTCTATGCACTCAGCTGATAATGAAACCAGCCATGTTGGTAACCTGTATGGTTTTTGAAATAATGCAACATCTAGTTTTGAAAATTCACCACTTAAATCAGTTGCTTTCTCAGTGTTTTGAAGATGCTAGCTACGACGTTTCACGCATTAAATTAAACAAATGTATTTTGTATCACGTTGATATAATCAGGTAAGTAAGATAAGTGTCTTAATATTTAACAAAAATGAACATCTCTTCAGGTTAGCCTCCACTTTAGATGATTGCTTTTCAGATGGTATGATGTCCCATCTCACAGTAACTGTTATAATTTTTGCGTGTATAGAAAAACAGTTTGCTGAAGTAATAAACAACAAATTTTGTAGGCAGAAATATACAACGTGTTTCTAGGGTGACCACATTTGTGCTTTTTTACACTTTTTCGGTTGGATTCTTACCTTAGTAATCGCGTGCCTATCGGGCCAAACCTTGATCAACGCTGTAAGCTACAAATTCTGGTTGTAGTCGTTCTGATTGTATTATTTCTAGAGTGAATCAATTTTCTGGTCAGTGTGGTTTTCAAAATGGTATGAAGCCGATGTCAGGTTACAAAAAGACATTTTGTTTATGTTGGCAAGAACCAAGATTAATTTTTATCTCACTGCTGGGCCATTCAATATTCTTTCATTTCCACTGCTAGTTTCAGTAAAATCTTGCACCAGCTGTTAGAGATCTGCTTAACTAGAATTTTAAAATTGCAGCTGCTTCAGACGTCGTATTCGGTGCTATGTTTATTAACCTCGTAAAGGATCGCCACGACAAAAATTTCTTGTTTTGACATTATTATTCCTACAATGCTTGTAGTTTGTTTTTATTATTAAATACATTATTTTTGCTTGTGTCAATAATTTTTGCAATTATACTTTTTCAAA